TTGGGCAGGCATGCGTTTCTGGGCATAACACCGGAGCGGCCAATGCGGGGTCCACTCTTATATTATGTCTATGGCGCCTGTGATCTTCCCTGCGTTCAAATTTTTTTCTTCTCGGGGAAGAAAGGCAAGATGGCGATGTGGGCACACGTTCTACTCTGAGCTCCATTCGTGAAGCCCCGAAACAGCTACTTAAACTAGCCCTTTACACATAATTTCTTCCTCAAGGTGGAACCGAACATCCTCGCTCTAAAGTAAGGAGAAAAACTAGAGTTCTTATGAAAGATGTCGACCGTTAATGAGAAAGATTTCCCTAGCCTGAAGAATGCTAACGCTGCTAAGCTAAACATGCATAACTATGCTGCCGCTGCTAGCGCTGAAACACCGATGGAGACGTCAAAAAATGCCTCCGGTACAAGACGGCAACTAAACGCTACTCCAACCAAACTTCCACCTGCTAAAAAACAAGCCACTGAGACCGAGGTCTCCTTAGCTGCTGTCTTAGCAGCCATTAAAAGTCTGGATAGCAAGGTGGACGACTTTGGAAAACAGCTAAAAGAAAATTCAGACTTGTTTGCCCGCATCACTCTCCAAGTAGAGCAGAACACACTCAGCATTGCTGAATGTAAATCTACAACGGAAAACCTTGAACAGAAGTTTACTGCAATGAATAAAGAAAACGCAGCTCTGAAAGAAAAACTCCTGGAGGCTGAAAGATACAAACGGCGATGGAACCTGAGGCTGTCGGGCCTCAAAGAGCAAGAAGGAGAAAACCTCAGAGAAAAGGCAGAACATCTTCTCTCAAGAATTTTACCACAATGGGCAGACCAGGCAGGGGATGTGATCGACACAATTCACCGTTTAGGAAGAAAGGAAGAAGGACGGACCCGTCAGGTTATCCTGCAGTTCACTAGGAGGCGCCATCGAGACACGGTCTGGAAAGTGACGAAGGATTCAGCGGTATGCAAAGAACAAGGTCTGCGTTTTGCTCAAGATTTTATTAAGGAAGACCGGCTGGCAAGAGAAGAACTGTGGCCTAAGATTACCAAAGCCAGATCCCAGGGTAAGGTGGCCTTTTACAGAGGTCATATCGCAGTGATCGACGGCAAGGTGATCAAAGCTTCATCTCCCTTCTGAGACTATAGATTCTCTGTTTACTGCATCCTCCTATTACAGGGTTAAAAAAAAAAAACAGCAATGTTTTTCCTTTTAATATTGAATTATACCTTTTGTCATAGTAAGACTCTGACATGCGCTCCAGTGGTTTTATAAGTTTGTTCAAATGAAAAGGGAGTAGTTTTAAGTTATGTTTAGTGGAGGATGTGGATGCAAGGTTGATTTTCCAAAGTTATATTGTAAAGGGCATTCTTAGAATTTCCAGGGGCTTGCCTTTAATTCTTTCTATCTTAACAAAACTTTCAATATTAAGGTTTGTGTCTTTAATACTTATTTTCTCTTTTTTATTTTTTTTTATCAATTCTATGTCTTTAAAAACTAATCTTAGGTTTTTGTCACTTAATGTAAGGGGCTTAAGAGAAAATGTCAAAAGGAAGGCAATGTTCATGTACTGTAGGAAAAATAATCCGCACTGTATTCTTCTTCAAGAAACCCATTCAACGGACTCTGATGAGAAATTTTGGTCAAATCAGTGGGGAGATCAGATTAGTTATTCACATGGTACGACAAAATCAGCAGGTGTGGCTATATTACTGAATAACTTTCCAGGGAAAATAATTCATACAAAACATGACAGTGATGGCCATTGGTCTTTTTCCGTATTACTTATTGAGGACTCATTAATAATCCTAGGTAATATTTATGGTTACTGTAATATTTCCAAAAATAAAGAGCTTCTTACAAGTATTGAAGTAAATGTCAAACAACTTAAACAAACATTTTCTACTAAATATGTCTTATTAGGTGGAGATTGGAATATGGTTATGGACGAAGCTCTTGATAGATGCCCAAACAAATTTGCAAAAGCCCATCCAAACCGGTTTTTGTCTGATTTTTGTGATAACTTGGGACTTATTGACTTATGGAGAGACAAACATATTAACGAAAAACAATTCTCTTGGTTTAAATCAGACACATCAAGCAGATCTAGAATAGACTTTTGGCTAGGAACTGATGATATTCTCAAACTAACATCAGATTGTAATATGTCTCCAACTCCTTTGACTGATCACTGCAGTATTAATTTACTAATTGCCCCTCTTCCTGAGAGTTTGAGACATAGAGGGTATTGGAAATTCAATGCAAATCTCTTAAAATATGAGCTGTA